TATAAATTCATTTTAGTTTTGGACTGAAAGTGTTGGTTTTCAAAATGAGAATCATTGCTCGATCAGTATAAACAAGTTCTCTTGGCAGCATGTTTGAATCGACTGCTTTTAGATCGTAAGTCATGTCGGTTTAACTGAAAAAACGTCTTTTTCAAAAAAGATTTYAAAATGGATATAATAAAGTGGTAATTGAACTTCGTGTCGTACAATTTTGGTCTGAAATCAAACTTGCAATTACAAATYGCACTCCCGCTACGCGGTCGTGCGATTTTGTAATCGCGCGTTTGATTTCAGACCAAATTGCACTCCACTCAGTTCAATTACCATTATTAATCATATCCTTTTTGTAATCATACGCAAGAAAAAGACACAATAAAGAGTGCAGAATAATCAATTTAATGTAGTAGAAGATCTAAATGCGAACAAAAAAAAACATCTAAAAAAATGTTTGTTGTTGATTTTTTTGTTTTATTTTGTTGTTAAAAAAAAATTTTTTTTTAGGATGCAATTAAGAGCTCCTGAAGGATGTGATTTGGGAATTAATCACACTCCTTTGAACCAATCAGATTGCAGGATTTGGTAGTGATTACAAAAAGGATATGATTAAAAAAATAATCATTTTGAAAATCAATCATTTGTTATCCAAAGAACATGACATGATGCAAGCAGTTTTTAGTTCAGCTAGAAGAGAAATCAATAGCTCTACTGAACAAAAATGGGTGAATAATAAATATGAGGTAGATGCATGGAGCACTGTTTTGACAAACTTTAAAAAAATAGCATGTAAGTACAAAAAAACATAGTTTGAAATTTTTAGTATTCTAGTAGTTTCACTGATGCACATCTTTTTGCACTACATTGCTGTATAGTATTAGTAAAACTAGATTCCTGGTTGTACTTACAGTTCCTCTAGGGCTTGCCTAGATTTGGACAGCGGCAAAGCATCTTTAATTGCCTCTGCCAGTTTATCCAGGTTCCATTTACATATTTCAGGCTGTGCTGTGTAACTGTATCTTCCTCTGTCGGCATCTTTAATAAAATAAAATAAAAAGTTAGCCACAGTTAGACCCTTTTTGTGACAATGCCTGGATGTTTTATCCCAATAGTTCACTACTGAGATATGCTACGCTTGTCACACACAAAGGTTTGAGTACATGGCTACAGGCTAAATTAGATTTATTCTTTTCTCCTGTCACAAATCAATGAGCATTAGGCACGAAGCTTCACATTGAATCTTTTGTGCATGACAAGCGAAGCATATCTCAGATGTGGGCTATTAAAATTGACTTACAGATCAAAGTAGTGGTTATACAATTAACAATTAAGAAAAATCTAGCATTAACAGTAGTGAAAATGTGAGAAAGCTTTTAAAGAGCTTTGAGTGGGCCAGCACTGGTAGTGGCATCTTGATGTTTGTCTATTGGATCAAACACTCTTTCTCACAGGGGTGGGAGGGGGTGCGCACCCCTCGCTGGTTACACTTTGTGCTCCTACTTCGAAGATAACCAATTTTGTTTTTTGCCTTTGATTCTAAGGGGTGCAGCCCTCCCTGGGTTAACATTGTGCRGAGCACCCCTCCTTGAACAAAATCCTGGATCTGCCCCTGCCTCATGACAAGTGTAGATGTAATCCACCCGGATGATCATAATGCTTCGATTAACATTGTAGATGTAATGTAAATTATTTTTTGATAGACAAGGAGCAATCTCATAGATGTTTAACGGCATTAATCAAGATGGCTAATAATAGATATAAGAATTAAATTTTAATCATTATTACCTGATTCATTACAAATGCGATCTTTGTCAAAGTAGTCCATGAATCCAAATGGCCCATAGTCAATAGTAAGCCCAACAATACTCATGTTATCTGTGTTCAAGACCCTATATTGAAACAAGTTGAACAAGACTTAACTAAAGATTCCTTAGAACACTTATATTCAGTTGCCTTCAATAAATAAATAATTATTATTAAACAAGATAAGTCTACTTTGGTTAGACAAGGTATATATATATATATATATATGTTGCTATTATCAAAAATGGGTGTCTCATGTTAATGAATTATAGACATTGTTATGACAAATATTCAGAGAAAAATCAAATCAAAAGAATTGAAATTTAAAATCTTTACCCATGGCAAAAGCCAACACACTGCCATTCAGCAACAAGTCTTGCAGTCCTTAGAACAACCTCTTTGTAGAAAGCAAGGTATCTGTCTTCTAGGTTACTGGGATGAGCATTGTAAACCTATTTAAGGGATTCAACAGATAATTAATAACAACACTGGATTACTGACAGCAGTGAAAAGCTCTCCTCGAACAGCTAGTGACTGACAATACTGGATCACTTGCTTATTGGTGAAGCAGAGTGGGACATCAGCTCTATTGTTGGTTGAGAGGACAATGAATTCAGTTCCTGATAGGTCAAGATGAATACTATATATGAGATGATGATTGGTCAAAATTTGTTGAATCAGCAATGGATTGGTTAAGAGAAAAACTGAATCAAATTCTGATTGGTCATGCAGAGAGCTAAATAAAAATACTGGCTGTAGATTGGGTGAGCAGATTCATCAGAGTCAATTCAGATGCCAAAATTAATTGATCTAATTAATACACTGCATGGAGTCTGAACTTGGCCATATAAATTTTTYWWAAATTTTCCAATGACTATTAAGAAAACATACCTCAGTGTAAAATGTCTTGATAGTGTAATCTAAAAGCTTGGTTAGAATATCTGTTCTTCYAACACTTGGTCCTTTTTGACCAGTCAACCTGTCAATAGGCTTGAATATCTCAAATGATCCAAACCTAGCAAAGGCAATTTGTTTTAAAGCTACATTATATATAGAGTGAAAATTAGAATCAATAGGTCTATAAAAAGTTGTTAGGCCCTTTGCAGGGAATAACGACGGTTACTGGATGGCAAAAAAATTCAGACATCATGCTAGATTACTTATGGCCAAGGGATACTGAACTGAATACTCTCTGTCATTGCGTTGATGATGTAATACTGTAGTTTAATAACAACTTGTTAATGTGCAACCCTGATAAAACTGAAATTATTCTCTTTACTTCTTGTTTCGCTAGTAATTCAACATTGCAATCTTTTTAAATCTCCAACGCTACTATTCAACTTTCTGATTCTGTTTTTAATCTTGGAGTTATATTAGATAAGCACCTGACTTTTTCCCAGCACATCAATAACATCTCTAAGAAGGCTACCTTAGCCATTAGGTCAATATTATTGGTCATATTCACAAATATCTTTCCTAAGATAACCTAAAATGCCTTCACATTATTGTAATGGGCTTCTCTATGGSCTACCAGACAAAGATATCTCAAAACTGCAGCGTGTTCAAACTATGCAGCCTGTCTACTAACAGGGATTTGCTGTAATGAACATCACTCTGTTACTTAAGGCTCTTCATTGGTTACCTATTGAACCCCGATTAACTTTTAAGATTCTACTTCTGACTTATAAAATACTTCATAATCTGTCACCCTCCGTGAAATGTCTTCTGTTCTTCTCCAAGCCCTACACTCTACCCGTTCTCTATGCTCCTCTAACCATTCCCTTTTAATAATCTAGTTTGACTTGGTCTTCTTACATCTATAGTTTGCTAAAAGAAAATAATACAATAGAACCAACCTTATAAAAGTAGGAGCCATTCTCATGACTATACTTGCTTTTTCATGAATAACATTGCCATCATAATAGATGTCTCTGGGTATTAGTGTATCTGAAGTAATGCAAGATCCAGCTGTGGAGAGAGTCAATGCTTATTCAAAATTATATGTCGTATGTCAAATTTCTTTTGCCAACATCTCTTGGATACCTGTGGTATGTCAAATATTGGTATCCCTGGGATACCTGTAGTATATCAATTACTAGTATCCCCAATCCTTGGGATAACTGTGGTATGTCAAATGATACTATCCCTGATCCTTGGGATAACTGTGGTATGTCAAATGATATTATCCGTAATCCTTAGGATACCTGTGGTATGTCAAATGATATTATCCCTAATCCTTGGGATACCTGTGGTATGTCAAATGTTTGTGTACCTGATTCTTGGGGTACCTGTGGTATGTTAAATGTTCGTGTACCTGATTCTTGGGGTACCTGTGGCATGTCAAATGTTTATAACCCATTTCCTTGAAATTTAAAATCTACCAGTTTTGTCTGTAATCTCAGAGTAAAACAATCACGAACGGAACCCTCAGATCCATGCCAGGTGAGAGCCCAAGATCAAATTGGAATTTAGTAGTTGATTTTTGAGGAGGGAGGAAAACTGGAGAACCCGGAGAAAAACCCTTGAAGCACTGGAGAGAACCAACAAACAACTCTACTCACGTACGAAACCGAGCACGGCAGGGCTCAAACTCGGGTCGCATTGGTGAGAGGCAGCTCATTAGCAGCACACGCCACCCGTGCTTCCCTTCCCTTGGATACTAAGTTCAAGATATATAAATAGGTTTTTCAAAAATTCACTTTTACCTCTTGTAGTTGGGATTCCAAGATGATGCATAGCCTGAAAACACAATCAAGCAATAAACCAATTTGCATAATATTCATTGTACCAGAACATCCTATAATCTACTGCCACCAAGCTGGGGAAAATGATATTGAAAGGAGAACATACCTCACTGCAGAGGAATTCCCTGATGCTTGATCTGAGGACCTTACGCCCATCAGCATGTCTGGAATATGGTGTTAACCCTGCTCCTTTTAGCTGTATCTCCCATCTTTCTCCTTTACCATTTATCACYTCTCCTAGATACCTTCATTCAAGAGAAAAATGAATTTCATTTTAATTGAAGTGGAGTTTGAGATGGCCAGACAAATTTTCTAGGGCACTACTTTAATTAATCACATTGCTGAGTAGGCTCCCTAGTAAAATATCATTATCATCATCATCATTATTTTAGTAGCTGTTGTGTTTTGCTCCATCCATGGACAAGAGATTTTTTAGCGTAGCCTCACATTCAAGTAGTTCAAAATTAGGTTACGCAGGCTTAAACAAAGGTTTTTATTCTTAAGGAAACAAACATACTACCATGTGATTAATAATGTCCATTGTGCTCAAATTATTATATAACAAACAATGGTAAATTCACTTTACAACAAGTAGGTATGCCAAAATGAACCCTAAGAAATATAAAGAGCACCTAAATATTAGTTAAACACTTACGATTGTAAAGCGCATTTTGATCAAATCGCGCTATAGAAATTATTAAATTATTATTATCATTATTATTATTAGAATGAACTAATCTAGTATCGTGGAAATAGGCAGTCAAGTCGTGGGAATATTTATTGCGCATGATCGGAATGCACTTACGCCAAGGGTTAAATATGGTATTTATACTCATCATAACATTTTGAATTCATAGTCTTACTAACATTGCTGCTCCATCACCAAGCTGACCAGAAAAACTTCCAAACTGATGTCCACAGTAGCAATGAGCTGCAGTCTTTGAACCAGGTAGGAGTTGATTCCCGCTGAAATACTCTGCAAAATCTTCTCTCGTCAGTTCTGATTCAGGCAAGTCAATCAAGGAAAAAACAYGACGAGAATAGGCTACAGTTACTGGATTACGAATTGGAGTAGGATCAACGAGGGAGAAACAAGCTCCAGGTACCTGTCTGACATAGTTTTCTTGCTCTTCGTCTAAAGGTAGCGAGCGCAAAGCTAAGTTATCAAAATGTAGAGTCTCAAGGGTCGCCATGTTTCTGTGTGGTCTTGAAGCAAACCATTGACTGAAAGTTGCAAGAACCTTACGAAGTCTATGTCGGCCAGCGATCATACAGTCAACATCTATTCAAGCAATAGTGGTTTCCCAAATTTGCTTCGATGTGGAATTGAAAACAAAAATATTCACAAAATGAATCTGTTTATTTTRACCTCCTCTACCTCCTGTTCGAAAACTGGACTTTGGCCCTTTTAACCCGCGGTTGAGACTGGGCAAGAACGACGTCTAGGCCACAGGAAGCCCAATAATATACCATAATGTAATCTCTATACTTGTAACATTTTCATAAAAAATACAATGTACCAGACCTAATACAACAGAAAATACAATAGATTTTCTAAATACAGTCTGTTTCGACTTGCCTCGATCACTTTGCTTCTTTGATTATTTCTTCATTTCAGTTTCGTTTCATTGAATAACTTGATATAACTTATAACTTATAACTTGAGTGCACGTGGTATCACGGTAGTTTCACACATCACACACGTTTCAGAATATGGAAAAAGACCTTATAAAATAACTGTTATGAATATCGCGTTCTGACTGGCTTGGAGCACGTGCTTTATGAGAGCACATTGCACGCGCGCGCGAAATTTCTGTTGCGTCATTTCTATCTAAAATAACGGTTATTGTAATTTGTATTTCATAAAAGAAATAAAAAACTTGCTTGCTGTGCTGTGTGCCGTTATAAAGCACTTGGGGATTGGCAGAACAATCCGCTACGCGTCGTGCTTCTCCTAACACTTCTCTCGTGTTCTGCCAGCCCCCGCGTGCTTTATGACTGCACACAGCACGCGCGCGCGTTTTCTATTTCTTCAATAATGCATGCCCACTGATCCCGATCCCTCAGAAGCGGGTCCAGAAATTTGTTACCGTGTCCCAAATGAGGAAAGGCACATAGAAATATTATGCATTGCGTCAAAAAAGCATAAGATTAATAGTTACGGTGTTAGGGGAATGTCCGATTCACTGCAGAACATCCCTCTGCATGGATCACTGTCCCTAAAAAAATAGCAAAATTACTCCCTTCAAAATCACCACAGCCAGAGATAATGAAATTCGTGAACTAGTTTCCTGGTTCATTTAGCTTAAAAAATTAACTGAAATGACTTTGTCTTATGAAGTACTAATGGTCAAAGTTCAAGTTCAAGTTTATTGAATTAAAATTGATAATGACATGCCACAGTACAGCCATCGCATAGTTCGTTAACCCACGACAAGGAGGGAGGGTAGGGAGTAGATACTCGATCGGTATTAGTGATGCGCAATATTTTTATCGACCTTAGAAAAGAAACCACATAAGGACGAATACGCTGATTTCTATCTACAATGAATTTGTATTCATGCAATTTTGATTTCTATCTACAACACAATGCTTACGAGCATTTTTCCCCCTCAGATTAAGTTTCGAGTTCTCGTTCACTCTCTTTCCATGCATGCATCATTTTTGGCTTATGATTTAGCAGTAGTTGTGAAGCCACTTCTAAACGTATTAAGTTCATATTTGTGCGATCTCTCTTTTGGTTGCGATGTTTTCTCGTCTGAGCGGCCGGGAGAATGTCACATGATCATTTCCCGCCATTTGACACATTTACCAAAACTTGTGTGCTACAATATGTCACTAGATTTAATATTTAATTACTTCATGATCAAACCAAAGATGACTTGACCTCTTAATTCATATCATTTATTATTAGATCTTTTTTCGCTGCATTCTAGCCAGTTCCTTTTCTAACAATGAGACATTAGGATGCATTTATCAATAATTCTAAGTTTCCTCGGCTAAGATCGTGTAACATTTATCACAGACCCTAACTGGGTTACTATAACCAAGGCTGAGGATTGGAATTCGTTTAGGAGTGCACTGTCCGCAGAACACACCACCACACTTCCTACAATGATGCTGAGAGAAGAAAAAAAAAGATACATGGTTAGGTCAGGATTTGACGGGCTTTATCTCACGATCAACATAAGCTGCAATATTATATGCATTTTTGATATGAAGAGAGCTGAATTGTAGTCACACCTCTAAGATACTGAATAAAATATCAAATAAAACATGGCCGCCATCTTGGGCGACAAAAAAAGAAAAAATCCGAAAGAATGACATTTCGACTAGCCTCGAACACTTATGGGCTAAGTACGATCAACCAAAAAATTGTGCCAATTCATGATTAGATGAAAATTTATCGACTATTTTTGTCCAAGATTGTAGATCTCTTAGTTCATTTTCTCTTGTAAAAGCATAATTTTACCTACCCTTCTCCTTACAGTCGTGAATTTAATTTTACAAGCCATGCAGGTCTTGACCTCTTCATCTGGTACCCATGCCCTGGTAACTGTACATGCCGTGTGTTCAGAGCCACATGCCACAAATCTGACATGCTTACCTTCCATAGCCTCTACTGCACTGGGTAAAGGCCTGAAGATAAAATTAAAGATAGGTTAAGTGCTAGTTATGACCTACTTAGAAAGTGTCAGGGACCACTTGAATGCATTGGTTAACTGACTCTGTCTTCTAGACTGAAGTGAATGAAAACCGACGCTGATCTCTTTACCCCTGGCCCTCTCCCTTCCTCTTTCTATAACGGTGCTGTAATTTAAGTTCAAAAAAACCCCTTAATCTATACTGGAATAATAGATATTTGAATACGAATTTTTGAGATCTTGCTTAAGTTTACTGGCAGCACACTTAGCATCTAGCGACACTAATCCTAAAAGTGGTTAATAATTGCAACAATTCTAAGTGGAATATTGAACAAACTTACCTGTTTTTATCGTCACCATGACCCAGTCTTCCTCCCTGACCTCGTCCCCAAGTGAAGAGTTCTCCGCCATCTTTAAAAGAAAAAACAATAACTGGCTTTAGCATTTCTTTTCCCTTTTCCTATTATAAATTCTTGGTCCTTTTCCTTTAAGGGCTACAATTCTATCAATAGAGGTTGATGGCAGGAACAATACTTGTAATCGTATTACACGAGAAACAATTTAATTCCCAAGAGCGAAGACATCTTATTGTTCTGCCATCTAACCACAGGTAACCCAAGCTGATTTATGGGCGTGGGCACATGCAATCTCGTACCCAGAGCCCACGTTCCTCATGGTCAGCACCGAGAAACGTGGGTACGAGATTGGGGCACGTGATGGTGCAAAACCGCTATAATGGGGAATATCCCAATTTCTAGGACAGAGAGAGATTGCCAGCGAGGTTGTACGTTGTTTACACACGATAAAGTAACCTCGATTCTACTTCAGCAATATTGCGGGCACAGGGTGCAATTTCGTGACTAGAAGTGTTGAGGACTACACAGTTGCACCTTGAGTACATCTGGGGGCCRGCCTTGCTTACTAATATATATGTGAGCAGCGGTTTACTATACCTGTGACAAGCGCAGTATGATAATCCCCACAAGCAACGTGAAGAGGTTTCGAGTCTGTTGGGATTCGAGCTCTAATTGCAAAACTAAACTTGGTTTGTCCTTCTAATTTAGAGTCCAGTCGAATTCCAAGCTGTCCGTCAGAGTTATCACCGAAACTGAACGTTTTCCCCTTTTCTATGGGATGTAAGAGTTAAAACATAATGAACAAACACTGCAAATGTTTTGAACCTCAAGAGCTGCCCTTGCCCGCAGCTGCACAGATTCTTTCGTGCATTTCAATTTGCGTGTCCAAGAAGATGGTCCCCAAAGACCTGTATCCCCCTTTTGGTTGGCAGTAGATTCATTATATACAGCGGTATAGGGAGAGGCTGGAGGGACGATTTCTTGAGGTCAGTAGGAATTGGCRGGAAACGCCCCTGGATTTATGATATTAAATTTAAAATTTTCAAAAATCACTCACTGGTCAGGAATACAGTGTGATGTGCTCCACAGCTAACATCAGATATAGCTTCTTGCCTGGTAGAAAGTTGGACAGGGATAAATCAATATATAAGTATCCTTTTCTTATAGGAATACCAAGRTATACACAGTTCTATTCTATTCGAGGACCTTGTTATACAATACTAGAAGTGTATCTACTTTAATTCTTTCTACTTTGTCCTTTATTTTCATATCTCCATTTCTTTCCTGCTTCTCTCTCTTCCTTTTTTCGTTTCCTCCTCCATACCAACCGTTCTCACTCCCTCACTTCTCTTATTCCTTCTTATCGTTTTTGTAGTACCTGATGTCATTTATTGATCCCATAAGAGTAGGTTTCGAAGTGTTGGTGAATGTGCCATTACCAAGCTGGCCATATTCGTTCCATCCCCAAAGCCATAAAGCACCGAAATCTAATAAATAAAACCAGACAAACCTTAGTCTAGAGACTACAGAAAAAAGAAGATAGTTGACAAAAAAATGCCCGTGGCAAACTGGTCACTATTGAAGAACAATGCTAGACCCGAACCGTTTGCTCATATATTTTAAAGGAATGCAGAAGACATGTAGTAATTCCAATACTCAGAGCATTGGAGTATAGAATACGCAATTTTCAAAGATATGATTTGTGTACTGCAATCTCACGGGAAGGACGTGCGATGGGTGCGACTTTTTCAGTCATAAGAAAAATACTTTTATCCTCAAAGTGACTGAGGTGGGTATTACTGTAAAATGGCATTAAATCCAAGTTAGCCAAGTAACGCTTAGTTGATAGACAGACGTCAGTCATAACTGAAAACTAACCTGCAAGGGCTGCACTGTGATATCGACCACACGAAACTTGTACGATAGTGTGACCGGAGAAGGCAGAAACACATATCGGGGTTGTTGTACTCTGAATGTCAGAAACTCCAAGCTGTCCGTGTTCATTGTCTCCAAACGAGAACACTGTACCTTGTTTGGTACAAACTATCAAAACGCAACGAAACGTAAGCCACAATTGTAACGTAGAGTGCTTCTACTAGTAAACGTAGCACTTACGGAATGGTACAAATTTGCCGTCGGAACATAAACATGGGGTTATGGTAGATGTCAATCAAAGTGTTTCCAAGATGTTTCTAAGGGCGTGAATATGGAATGAGTCATCGAAACGCTTTGATTGACCTTACTGAGACCTACTTCGTCGCGATGACGATTCCGTGATTGTATTCAGAAGCACTTAAAAAAGGTAACTATGTCAGGTAGTGCTGCTGTTGCTTGCAGTTGTTATTATGTTGATATTTTTTGTCACGGATCGATCGGGAATGATCATGACGAGAGCTTACCGAGTGTGTGTTTTAGACCACAAGTCACGTGAGTAACTTTGACGTCATCCAGACCTTTGACGAGTCTAGGAGAGGTTTCCTTTGAGGAACATTCGTAACCGAGCCTGGGACCATTTTTACCCCATGTCAATAGATCTTCATTTCCTGTGGTAAACAAAAGAAATGTAAATACAGGTTTTGTTTTTGTCAGGCCTTGTCCGGAAGAGTTTTTCTGGCTATAAAATATGTAACTAGAAAAACGYTTTCATTTACTGAAGTAAAATGTTATGTGGTTTAAATACCACCTTAACCCAAAACAAAAGTGCCGTCCCTCACACACGTCTCTCAAAACTATAAGGTGAGGTCAAGTGGGAAATACAAAAAAAAATCCCACTTTTTAACAATGGATTTGTGCAGGTTCCTTCGTTTTCTTTTTTTCTTTTTGCTTGCTTTGCAATACAATTTGTAAGGGTGTATTAAAAGAACCATTTTTTTTTGAGGAAAAGGTTAAGGAACAAGTAAATAGTAACTCACCGCAGATAGCAGCACTATGAAACTCGTTACACGATACTTCAGTAACATTTTTYCCCTTGAGAGCAGCGATTCTGATTGGTGTAAATCTGTCTCTAAGATGTCCTTGGCCAAGACGACCACCATAACCAGATCCCCATGAGAAGACTTCTCCTTCTTCTAAATAAATATGATGTGAATGGAAGTTATAGAATGACTTAGGTTGTGCATCTCGGGCTGTGAATACTGAAGAGAACATACTTGATAAAGCGATGGTGTGTGAAGTACCACATGCTACTTTCCTGATGTCCTTCCCCAGTAAGGCTTCTACTACACGTGGATAACTCTCTTCTGTATCCTCACCATGTCCCAGCATGCCTTTGGTACCACTCCCCCATGTATACACGTCACAAGCATCTACCAAGCAAAAACTTGAATGTTACTTCTCAATATTTAAAAGGTTTATTCAAATTTGAGTTATTAATTTCAATATCTTCCTTCCCACTTTAAGCAAAGTCAAATTCCATTGGTTCACATACCTTCTTTGTATTTAACAGTTTCTAGACCCAGCCGACTAAACTCTACCTGTGAAAGAAGAATCAGACCTGAAATTTCAAGTTGTTTTGAAAGGGAAATACAATCGTATTTCATGGTGGCCTGGTCATCAACCTACCTTGACATTATCAGTTTGGTCTGTTACTTCTTCTGTATCTAGTTTTGAATCAACAGCTTCTTTGTCATTAAAACCCGACTGAAGTGCCTGTATTTCATAACCACAATGAACATAATGAATTCAAATCCTTCTTTAGCAAACATCAATATTCCTTCCTTCATCCTTCCTTTGTTTCCAAGTTTCAATGACTTATCCAGCCAATGTATCCATTATCATTTGAATTTCCATCTTCCATCTATTTATTCATTCATTCATTCAATTATTATTTTATTCATTAATTCCTTCCTTCCCTCCTTCCTTCCTTCCTTCATCCAATCATCATTCACTTAATATTTATCCATCCTACCCAATTACCTGTATGGGTGTCAACCTGTCCTTCTATCCATTCATACATCCCATCTCATCAATACTCTTTTTTTCCCATGTGTCCATCAGTCAAATCATTCAAAATATTTAAGGTCAAAAAGTACCAGTAATGATAAAAGGGTAAATTTTGCACTGCGAAAAGATGAAAAAAACTTACTGACGTTCCGGACGCTAGTCCTTCATTAGACAAAGGACTAGCACCGACGCAGCTCACACTAGTTTTTAGCTAGTTATCTCTTCTTGTCAAAAAGTACCTGTAAACCTGTTGTCCAGGCCTCAAACTCCACTTTACTTTTACAAACAATGTCAAGAGTTTTTGTTGATCCATTGCTTATTTTGTAAACCACAGAAAAAGACAAGCACTGCAAAAAAATATATAACAGCATAAGAATATTGACCAACAATAATAATAATTGGCATTAAAAGTGGATTCCAGAGAGTGTCAATTCTTCCGCTGGATTCCAGTTGGAATTTAGAAGTTGATTTTTATGGAGGCAGGAAAACTGGACAACCTTGAAAACCCTCAAAGCACAGGAGAGAACCAACAAGCAAGTTAATTCAACTCACATACAACACCGAGCATGGTCAGAACTGGGGTTGAAATGGGGTTGAACTGGGGTCACATTGGTGAGTGGYGAACCTCTCGCCACTATGCCACCTGTGCTTCCAATGTAAATAAATAACTAAAGAGAGAACAGAAAGTCCAAGCAACGTACTTGTACCTTATTACAAATAAATGTTTGCGGAACTGTTTATTGTAAGAATATCTAATAGTAAATTTTTGTAGTTAGTTTATCAATTTTTGCATGTGTGTTCTTGCTGCTGTTCTTTGTACACAATTTGGAGCCAATCTGACAAGTTTTAACTTTTTATGGGTCTACCAATRTAGAGTAGATTAGGGACAGAGTGACAGATGATGCAGTTAAGATAAGATTATTTACCTCATACTGGGGTATCTGGCAACTCTCAAAAACTTTTGTCTTTTGTCCTTTTATTAATTCAATCATCTGTGAAATATAAACTATAAAATTGCATTAATTATTATTATAAAATAAAAATAATTCCATATATTAAARTATAACTCATTAAAATACCAAAGAATATTTTTGATGACAATAGCAGTGTGGTAAGAAATGTTCCTTTCCCCCTTTCTGTCACACCCCTTCCTCATCCTGCAAGTATTAACCATCTCTCTATGAACCTTGTATATATATGCAGCCTTCCTGATCATGCCTGATCATGACATGATGTGAGGAACGATTTGATTGATTGATTGAAGACTTTATTTAATGAGGGTGACATGTGGCAGTAATTTCGTTAACTGATTAACTTGTGGCCCTTGAGTCTTTTTTTTAGCACGGGCACTGAAGTTGGTCGTCACCAACGTCTTTAGTGGATCTTTTATGTCCACCTTATACAGGGTTATATAGTGAAGACAAACAGAGCCTAAGGTTTTAAGTCCTTGTCTGAGAAGACTTGAAGGTCTAACCATTTGCAGATATAATGGTCAGATACATGGTCCGACTGAGGCTTGAACCATGACCTTCCGCACAACAGACCGACGCTCTTACCAACTGAGCTAACCGGGTAGCAATTTAGGGATCTGTGTTTCCAGTTGGGTTTAATGTTGGACTGAACAGACCCAACACAAGCATAAACAAAGTCTTGAAAACTTTGTGCATGCCGGCAGTTTAATAGCTACACACATGTGCATACATATGTACAAGTTGGTTTTGTCTTTACARCCAACTACATGAAGCATGTCCATTTATGTACTTCTACACTTTAGAAGTAGTACATGTATGGTACTACTCACATAGAAACATTGAAAAAAATGGAGGAAAAAGGTTTACTTACCTACAGACTCTTTTCCTTTTCTCCTGGATTCCCATTGTAAATATGTCAAGTCTAGGTAAATATAAAACCAATATTAACAAATAATAATAAAATGAATATTAACCTATAAGAATATAATTAATTATTTAATTATTAATTATTTAAGTTAACTATAATTATACCTATAATTATAACTATGCTTAGAAGCTCTTGAGAACTAGGTGCTCACATTCTGGGTAGACTGTTAACAGTCCCTTTTTTCCCTCTATGCAGACTGAGCCAAGTCAGGTTTTTTCCTGGACTTAGACATTGATCAGAGTTTAAAGCCACTTCAAACTCACCCCTGCTCCCACACTCGTCCAAGGAAGTACAAACAGTCTGAATAGAGGGAAATGAGGGGTGTGTGTGTGTGTGGGGGGGATGGGGGGAATGCTTACAGTTTGACTCTACAAAGTATTATTTATTGATCATCTGATCAACTAGCATGTTTGAAGGTAGGCTTGACATAACAGCAGACAGCCAGCAGGTATTAAAATATGTTTTATTATTGAAAGATATGTGCCTAACTCTATGCTCCACATGGAAGAAGATATAAGTAAGTAATTACAATGTATCAAGTAGAGAGATTAAACAGTAACAACCTTCTGAGAGCTTGAATTTCCTGAAATGAGGACTTCCCTGAAAAAAATCAAACAAACAAGTGTCTAATGATAAACTCAATGCATTTTTACACRTATTTATGTTTTCCGCTTTATGCATTTCCAGCACTCATATAATTCAGTGCTATTGGGCTTACTGGTTGTAATATGCTTTTTTGAAGCCTCATTCACCATTTAGCATTGGTACTATACTGCAAGTCAGCCTCAATCGCCAGAGTTTTGTTATATTCTCAGTGGTTCTTTTACGTCCCATTTTATCGAGACAGGACCACCATTTGATGTAACCATCCAAGCCAAGGGGAGGGGGGGGGGACAGTACTCCCTTATATTCGCTATATGGGTACGTGCCGCCAAACAGGGTATGGTGTTCAGTGATTCTACTCTGGGACAGGGTACATAAAATCACTTTCGCTCTGGGACAGGGTATATGAAATCACGCTCTCTCCTCTCTGGAACAGGGTATCCATTTTCGCAATACCGGAACAGGGTACGATTTTCAACATTCTTGCAGAACAGGGTATGAATTTCAGCGATTTTACTCTGGAACAGAGTCAGGGTTCAGTGGGCTCATTGGCACATCCCTACCCTAAACGGGCAAGAGTACCCCCCCCCCCCCTCGGGAGCTTTGCCTAATATTTAGAATGTCATATATAGCATGGGGCAACAGAATTTAGCGAAGAAATATACATCATTACACTAAGAAGCTGGCCATGTTGTGATTCATAAAGTATACAGAATACTACTAGCTTTAAATAAAATTCATCAAATTGGTGACGTTTCGTTTCTTTTGTGGAGCAAATGAACACTTGCCTTTCTCTCAATATCTATGCTCATGACTTGGGCCCAAGGGACAAAGTTACAAATAAGACATACTTGATCGAAGTTGAAATACTTATGCACATCAGGGCAGATTAAATTTCATTTCATTCAATGATAGAACATATTTGTACAAAATCTTATAAGAAGCTTAGACTACGTGCATAAGTGAGTAGGCTTGGAATCAGTGTTGCTACTCACCCTTCGTCCAGCCTTTAGCATCGTTACTCCTTTATTCATTTCACGAATTGCTTGGATGACTTCCGGTGTATTTAACGGCGCCATGTTTTCAGGGCAACTGGAGCTGTCCGGAGGTTCTGTGAGTCTCACATGTAACTGCAACATGTTGATCAGTTCGTGAATTCAATTGCTTTAAACATTACCCCAGTCCTTGGACTACAATTATTGAAACCACAAAAGTGAAAATAGCACAAAAACATGTATGATCACTTGCTATAAAAAGCTGGAGGACGCCTTTCTATTGCACTTTCGATCGACTTGAAGACTCACAGTTTCAAAATTGCTCTTCATACTGCATGAAAAACAAATAAAACTAAACTTACTTATTTTAATTGCCCTCTGGGAATAGAGAATGATTAACTTTGAAGCATCAGTCAGTCAACAAAACATTGATTAACGATTATTCAAATATCACGGGTGGAAACACAGGAAGCCCAAGCTTGGTTTCTGTGGTGTCCTGTTATAAGGAAATGTATAGGGATTTATCAAAAATTTCAATAAAATCATTGAAACGTGAAATAAAGCCTCAAAAAATAACCACACAGAGCGAAAGAAGTGTTATTTCTCRATGATCGGGTAAAAKTTYGAGGCTTTWTTTCACGTTTCAATGATTTTATTGAAATTGTTGATGTATCCCCATACATTTCCTTTGACACCACAGAAACCAAGCTTGGGCTACCTGTGGTGGAAATCGATGCCAAGCTTTTTGGAGGGAGGGGAGTCTGGATCTAAATAAACTTCAATGAGATCACTTCCGTTTTGAGCTCTGTATATATAGGGCTATGCTAAGACTAGAGGGGTCTGACTAGGGCTAACCGTTTCTTCACCTGACACTTTACTTCTTCCCACTAGCGTAGGGAGGGCTAACGGGTATGGTATGGTATATGGTATGCACTCTACCATACATCCGTTAAAAACTTTGTAAGTCGATTGCACCAATTTGCACAAATTTATAGTAAGTTCATAAAACCGTTACCTRCAAAACTTTGTACTGATCTGTACAATTTYGTTAGTTAACTTTTTAACGGTTATATGGTATGCACTCTACACCTGACAAGAACCCCTTAAAATCTCCCAGTCCTCCGAAAAACTAGGAAAAACATTGATGGAATTCCTGCGAAATTATTGCTGGTCGGGTTGCCTGTGCTGGATCTCCTGAGCCTCACTCGTGTGTTTGATAATGTCGGATGTTGTGAAGTTCTGTCTTGTCGTGTCGTGTCTAGTAAATATTCCAAAGATTTTTACCGCTAGGATGATCATATCATTGATCCTATGATAATACAATATTTATTGAATCTATTTGTTGTTGGTAGCAGTTGTTTTAGTGGTATTTATGGAGGCTTTTGTTCTTGATACGTCACGTTTGGTTGGCGATGTTATCGGTGAGTAACAAAAACAACCTGCACACATCTTGATTTACTACCTTATCATAAATACCATCGATAAAAAGAATTTCCTGAGCATAAAGCTATGTCTTTGCAGTTTATGTGTTTATTTTCACTGCTTGATTTTTCAAATTTCGCTTTAGAGTAATACTTTTAAATAGTATTGAAAGGTTTAATACGGTACGCAGCTGGTTTTCTCGAGATGCAAGGGAGGCGTGCTTAATTTTTCCTTCAAAAGGACATATTTTAAACCAATAGAAATACATAACAAAAACTTTAAATTGATGATAAAATCCAATACACTTCCATCTTATTGACAAAACTTTGTTTAAAAGGCACAAGAGGCTAGACATGAATAACCAGGGGGGTGGGGTGGGGTGGAGGTATATGAAACCAAAAGGTTTCAAGAAAAAAAAATGCTCTAGCATATTACATAAAATATCCTACTCCTTAACATATTCTTCAATTCTCAAAGTTTTCATAAGCATAGTTTTAAGGTGTCCGTCTCTATTTCCTATTTCTATATATGCTCTGATAGCTTACCTGTAAATCATGATCATCTTTAATATTTGTAATATTTGTACGTTTTTTACAGCATATATTGCTCAGCTCAAGAGCACATTCCAGTCCACTGGTAACCCAATTAATGATGATGATACTACACTACAGAAGTTATGTGTCAAGTTTGAAACAATCCTTAGGCATGAACAAAAAGGTAGAAAACTTTGAACATGCAATATATTCAGCTTCATAACTAAACTTCATTCACACATTGATGATGATTGATTTTGATCACCTTTTCCATTCAGAAAAATATTCCATGCTTGGATACAGAAAAGATTATTGGAACTTCATAGTAGAATGTATTCCTAAGGATGATGGTGTGAAATACGTGCAGGCTGTCCCGCAGGTATAATATTGGCATTATGTGGTGCTGTTGTTCACTTTTAAGAACTATTAACATAACTAATTTATCTATCCCTCCCTCCATTCGTCTGTCCATCAATCCCTCTGTCCATCAATCCATCCTATTCATCCACTCATTCTATTGTTTATCTACAAAGCTTTTCGCTGTTGTATCACAGCGTGGGACAATCACAACAGAGCTAGGCTCCAAACTAAGTGAAAGCCCAAAGACCGAATTAGAATTTAGAAGTTGATTTTTGAGGAGGGAGGAAAACTGGAGAACCCGGAGAAAAACCCTCGAAGCACAGGAGAGAACCAACAAACAACTCTACTCACATACAACATCGAGATCGGCAGGACTCGAACTCGGGCCACATTGGTGAGAGGCGGCGCATTAGCAGCGCATGCCACCGATGCATGAATTAATAGTTGTAAGATCACAATAATCCATTTTTTTCTTAGATGAAGACAGCACAAGGTAAAGGAAGGTGTTTCATTAGATATGCCTTGGCAGAGAAGACACTAGCAGATACCGTGCAAAGACTCATGGTCAACAAAAATTCACTAAGGTAATTTTCAACCACCATCGTATTCATGGGATCACGAACTGTAATATATTTAAAGATGAACTTAACCATATAATAGATCCTCAGATGAACTTAACTATATGATAGGTGATAGATCCTTAGATGAACTTAACCATATGATAGATCCTTAGATGAACTTAACTATATGATAGACATTGTGACAGTCAAATAAAATGTTCTCTGTTCTGTATGGTTTACTTAGTTTTTGTAATGTTTTTTTAGTGACATTGTTTGGCTCTGAAAGAGAAAGAGATTTAACAGGCATGAGTCTAATAAGCCTTAACCCATGAGAATAAAAACTTTTGTTTAACCTGCATGAATTTTTATTCTCAAGCACTTGAATGTGAGGCTACACATAGGAAAATCTATTGTTCACCATGGCCGCCATGTGAGTAAGTCCCATGAGGTCAATGCTAAATCAAATTATCTATCTCATTTCCCATCACAGCTCATGGTACAGGCCAGATGCTATCTTTCGCAATCCATCTCTCTCAACTGCTCTAGTAAACAAACTATATGACTTGAACGATGTGGAGTTTGATTTGCCAAGTGCTGGGTATGACCTGGATATATCTTGGCCAGCATTTTCAAGGTATGAACCAGAAATAAAATCAGTCTCTAGAATATATATTTTTAGTATCACTTTAGTAAAACATGTTTAAGTTCAAGGGCAGATCCAAGGGGGGCAAAAGGGGGGCTGAATGAAGACCCCCTTCAGCAGAAAAAAACTGGAGAATTAGATGCTTTTTTATTGTTTTCCATTGTGTTGATGGAAGAAACTCAATTAGCCCCCCCCCCCCCTAAAATTTTGGCTGGATCTGCTTGAAGTTGGGACATTCTTCTCAATTATAATAATTATTACTACTAATTTGTTGTTTGTGTTTGTCTAATGTTGACTCATGTGACCTTAAGTTAATGTTTTCTTTTCTTTTTGCAGAAGAAGGATAAGAGATGGAAGTACTTCAGGAAGACGAAACAGTGTCAGCAGTATGGCCAGTGTGGACTTCAGGGTATGTTACTTAGCATCTTGTACATTTACTCTGTACATGTATGGAGCTAATTCAGACTAACTCCAAACAAAATTTCATAGCTCTTTTATTAAAATTAGTAAATAAACTTGATATATACAAACTTATATTTTACAACCACCACTCCCAGTATAGTACGGGACTCTTCCGTGAGTTTCCTTCCCCACGCTCTACCTCTACTTTCTATTCTATGTACGACATACAAAACTCAACTCACATGTTTTTTCTCTTTCTCTCACATGTTTGAGTTTTTTGCGACGTTTTTCAAACGTCAAAATAAAATATATGTCAATATTCATTGGCTTGTGTATATGTTATCTTTATCTTCAGAATGAAAGGCAAGATCCATTGGTTGGGTTAGCAACCGAGATAGCGTCTCTTGAAGAATTTTTTAATAGCGAGTTCTCCGAAGTAAATCCAGGAAAGAACGACGCCTTTGATAACGTTAGCATATCAGCATCAAACCTCGATACTCCTGCCGTATCAGAACTAACGTTGAAAATCTCTCATATCCATCAGCAAGCACTGAAGTGGAGGTCTACAGTGAATTCAACAAAGGCTGTGCTTTCTCAAGAGATGAAAAAGGCACAGGACGACAAACAGTTTGCCATTAGAGAATCTGAACTCAAAACCAAACAAATGATGGAAAAATTTTCGAATTTAGCTAAAGTTAGCACTGAACAATCTGATAAGAAATGTTCAGAACTTGCTGGAAAGTTGTCTGCAGCAGAGAAGGCTTTGCAAGAAAGAGATTCAGAGCTAAAGCAGCTAAGGAATGAAGTTCATAAGTCTGTAGTCGATTCGAGTACTGCACAGAAGTCGGCTATTGAACTTGAAAAACAGCTAACGGCGTCTGAGCGAAAACGAAGCGAACTAGGAACAGAAATGGAAAGTCTAAAGCAAAAACTAAAGTCGAAGGAGCAACTTGAGATTGAGTTTGACTTAAAACAAAAACAACTTAAGGAAAGAATGGGAATACTTGAGTCAAAAGACAATGAATACAAAGAGAGTATTTCAGAACTTCAAGGAAACCTACGAGCGAAAGAAGTCGCTCTACAAAGTATACAAGAGTCGTTTGAAAAGCTGAACGGGATGGTATTTGGTTCTTTTGAGGAGCTTGAAACAGAAATGAAACAAAGACTAGTTGAAAAAGAGAAAGGTTTGCAAAACCAAACCGATGAAAACAGAAAACTAGAGCTAAACGTAGATGAACTGCAAAAACAAATTCGCGAGAAACGAACTAAATTATCCGAAACTAAATCACAGCTAGAAGATTTACAAATGTCTTACAAAGAAATTCAGAGTTCGAATGAAAAGATGGAAGAGCAGTTGAAAGAAAGGGATGGACAGCTACAAGAATGCGAAGGGTTCATGAAGGAGTTGGGGGAAGTACTAATGGAAGAAGAAATAACCGATAATGATACAATAGATGGTATGGCAACAAATAATCAAGCTTACTTAATAGAAGTAAGTATACAGTCATCGAACAATTTAGATTGTTTTTGCTTCTTTTTTTTCTTTTTTTTTTTTTTGAGTTGTATTTCTTTATTACGCATTTGGTTGGACTGTAATGTCATTTTTTAAATTCCTTGATGTTTTTCTCTTGAAGATGGTTTCTTTGTTTGCAGAACACCACCCTAAAAAGAAGAGGGCTAAGATTGAGAAATATAGATAATAAGTCTGTTGTCCCTRCACTTACTGGCAAGATTAATATAGATGTTGTAAAATGAAATAATTTTAAGAATAATTTCCTTCGAAATAATCTGAATTGTTTTTTGCTGATTCTTTAGCTTTGCTATTTACTGTCCTTCCTCCCAAAGTGCAATTTCTAGGGTGCTTATTATATTGTATAAACACAAAGTCAAAACGTATCAAAATGTGTGCCTTTTCAAACGCAGTGTGAGCGGTTGCCTTATATTTGAGTTTGCGGTAATCCAGCATCTTGTTCACAAATTTGCTCGGCTTCAAATTTCTTTTTCTGTCGGGAAATCTTTCGTTTCATGATTTATTTCTTGATAGTTTCTTCATCATCGTCGTCGCTCCTCACGCCAGTAGGCGCATTAGACCGTCTTGATAGCCGGTTTATTGTCTGTTTTTGAAATTATCCGTTCCCATTCAGCGTTGCCGTAGTTTGTTTGATCAAGTCCAATCCCTTCAAGTACAAATTGTCAACATTTCAAAAATGCTCAAAGAAGCTGAAGAAAGATTCGAAAAGAAAGAACAGGATGTCCAAGAGCGGAACGCACAGTTCGAAAGGTATGTTCAGTTTTGTTTGAAGGTTGTAAGTATTCATTATAATGATCAACTTTCGCTCGCCCTTTTATCGAACAATAGAGCTTCGCGAGTTTCACAAGTTTGCGCGACTTCGCACGAAAAAGATGAYTGTGAGCAACAGCTTCTGACGGTTTGACTTCCGTAATCATCGTAATCATTTTGATTGACAGATCCCAAGATAATCCACAGACCGCGCCAAAAGTTGCTTTGCCCGTGTATGCCAAAGAAATAAGTGTATACAGCGATTTTAAGTCGTGTATGTGGCCCATAGTAGACAGTTGATTTGAAATAATTGAGTCAAAGTCCAACTAAAGCATAAATCGTGTTTCTGTGACAGTATTGTAACATTTTCGTATTGCTGTTTTGTGATTTTGTTTTTCAAATTTTGCATATCCTCTTGACTACCCTGCGAGCAGAGTCTCCTTTTAACTCCTCTTCTCTCGCCCGTAGAGGAGTTCAAAGGAGACTCTGCTCGCAGGGTACCTCTTGACCAACAGTCCCTTGTATCCTACCCTTTGCCCGCTCGCGATGATCGCGAATTACATTTCATTGTTTTATTGATATGATTTTGTTACTATTGCTAACTACAGTCTGCAGGCTGCTAAGAATAAAATGTCCGAAGAATTTGATGTTTTGAAGTCCAACAAAGATGACTTGGACACGGTAAGTAAATCAAGAGAAATTCAATATAGTGAAACAAAATCTTTAGCAGCCAAGTGTCGTACCACCGAAATAATCGTAAGGAGAAGAGTTTAAACAAAATATAAGCCACAGGCCTGAACCACAGGCATGCRCCCAATAAATGGATTTATGTAGGGTAGACTAAGTAAGTGGGAGGTGAATCCGGCKTCAAGGAAAAATCACACCAATTATAAATGTTTTTTTTCATGCTCATTTATTCTGTTCAAAAGTTACCGAGAAGACAATGAGCATGGCTCAAAAACCAATCTTCGTCTATTCATTCTGGTTTCAATAAAATGCTACTTATTAATTATTTGTTTACTTTGATTTAAAATGCCAGGAAAAGGCCGTGATCGAAGAGGAACTAAAAACAGCTTTATCATCGCTGGACGACATGCAGTCAGAACTTTTACAAGCAAGACAGTCCAACACAGAACGAGAAAATGAGCTGAATGACTTACGTAACACCTTGACCAAACAGACCGACCTGACACAAGAATACGAGCAACAAATCAACAGTTTTAAAGACGAATGTCAAGTCTTAAGAAATACGAACGAGAAACTTCAGCTTGACTTATCAAAAGCACAAGATAAAGTCACTTTGTTTGAATCTGAGAATGTGGATTTGAAAGAAGAGTTAAATGTGTTAAAGCAAGACCTAAGGACTCAGACAGACGAGAAACTTGGCATGGAGGATGAAYTCGGCGTCGCTAAGCAACAGCTTGAGTCAGCCAATGAAGGGAGGATCCGTGCTGAGCATGCGCAAGTCAAGGCACAGGAAGAGCTTCAAAACCTGCAATGCATGATGGAACAGGAGGTCGCGGCTTTGAAATTCCAGCTCAGTTCGGAAACCATCAAGTATGAAACCGAGATCAAAGTGAGTGGTTTGTATTTATCTATCATATGTAATAGGTAGACCTCGACATATGTCACGATGCATGGTTTTTAATGAGTTCAAGTTCACTTTMATTTGGACCATTACTTCGACGTAACGGCGGCCATCTTGCCAGGAGGCAAAACAAAACGAAGATAACAAAAAATGTATAGAGTTTAGTGTGTTTGACTTTCTTTTATGGGTAAAGGTGATCGATTTGGCGTCTTAATTCGTCTCTTGTCGTATTGTCTTGTGGTGAGCTGTTAATATCAATCGACGTCATTGCTGTAACAAAGCTTAATTTAACCCCTGGACGCCCCATGATGCCTTGCAATCCGAGATGGCCGCCGTATTGTTGAAGTAGTCAATTGCGCTGAGCAATTTGAACGATTTGATAGATTAGTAAAGTAGAGCACATATCATTCCAAGCCAATGTAGTTCTAATAGTTTTGTTCCAATCAGTCTGCATAGACTTGCATTGTTCTGTGTGAGTAAGATGGGTGCAGATATTGAATGATCCTTCATATAACATGACTTCAAAGGAGGTCCAGATACTGTCTTAACTGAAACATGAGCAATGAATAGGAGATTCTTGGCAGTCGCGGACCTTCTTCCTGGATACACCACTCCTCCTGTATGTTTTCAATCACAGGATTCCATCTTTGTTTGTTTTTTCAGGTTCTTTCGGAGCAAAGTCAAGAGAGTGCCAGGTACAAAGATCGTTCAGTGGAGCAAGAGGAGGCTATAGCTGATCTAGAAACCAAGTTAAAAATAAAAAGTGATGAATGGCAGAATGAGAAGAGAAAATATGTGAATGAAATAAAGCACCTAAGACATGAGGTAAGACGGACAACGTAAGGATGTGTTCATCTTTATGAACCTACTACGGGTGAACAGGGTGTGTCGTCTTTCATGTCTGTATTTACTATGCTGCGCGCTGTTCCGTGAACTTATACAAGTGTTTGATTTCTTTTTACTCTTTTTTTGAAGACTTTTTGACAAGTTTTAATTGTGCTCCTTATCGCTAACCAACTAGATATCGGCGCTCATCTTGATGTTTCGATAGACGGAGTTTGTGCATCGATGTAACGATATCGAAACATCAAAGAACAAAACATAATTGGCAGTAAAGACAACCCTTAAAACTTGTCAAAAAGTTGTCAAAAAGATGTTAAAAAGAAATCAAAAACTTGTGGAAGTGTTCACGGAACGGCACGTAGCACAGTAATAGATATGGCGATATTGTGGAGGGTAGTCTCAACTATAAAGTTTATGTATTGCTGATCATTAAATTCAACTTGCAGTCACTCGCTTATCTTTTGACGGGGATGTAGGCCCTCCCTATCTTGTTTAAGTCACCTAGTTCTCTTCCATCCCCCAGTGGATTGGGTTACTAGTAAGTCTTTTTCAAGCCTAAAAATTATGATAGCTAATTGATGTTCATGACTTTTCCCCAGGTCCAGTTGTTAAAGAACGCGTTAGATGGCAATAAACAAAAAATAACGACATTAGAAAACGATCTCCTCCTCACAACCAAGCAACTGGACGAAGAACGAGCCAGACAGAAGGACATGAAAAGAAAAATAGTGGAAGCGAATGAACAGAAAACGAAAGACCAAAATGAATTAAAAGGTCAAATGAAAGACATGGAGAAAGATATGCGAGAACTGAAGACTAAAATCGTAACACTGACCAGGTATGTACTAAAAAGCAGTAAAACAATAGTCAAACGACAAGCACAGATTAGAGGATATTACACCGTGACGCGAAAATATGACGATTACCTTCGAGTGGTGAAATATTTTTCAACACAAGAAGATAAACTTCATACCTTCATGGAAATTTGTCAATGAGGTCATGGATTTAATTCTTCGTATGAAAAATAMGAAGTGGCGTATTTGCCAGTAAAACACTAATATCTATAATAATTWAAAATATTGTTTGCCATAAGCAGCGAACTAATCTGCATTGAGCCATCTTTCTTATTGCAATAAATGTGGTTAGACCCTTTACCCCTCAATATGACTCACAGTGTGATTAGTGCCAACACTATTGAAAAAAGTGTTATTTCTTGACAGAGAAAAGGCAGAATTCTGGAAAAAAGCTGATGATCTTGAGCATGAACTGAAATTAAAGGCTTCAGACAGATGGGTGGAGGACAGTGAAGTCAAGCATTGTACGAACTGTAAGAGCGAGTTTTCGTTTCTGGTCAGAAAGGTAACATATTGCACTGACATGCTGTTCGTTCTTCTTTCATTCTGTCCCTACCACTGACCTAGATCTCTTCATCTGTAAATCAATATATCAATCAGTAAACCCATTCGCCTATTCATATACTCATCTATTATCGGTTTCTTTTGGTTGCTAGCACCATTGTCGGCTGTGTGGTCGCATCTTCTGTCATTCTTGTGTAAACAACTGGGTGAAGACTGCTCACAGCAGGTAATTAGGTATCCATTTGGTTTTAACCCACAAAAAATAACCTCCTATGTAAACCAATTGAACAAACTTAGTATCACATTCTCGGCGGATCCATCAAACAAATKAGAACGGTTTTAATGCCTGAGTGAGAAGCATAGAGGTACTGACGTACAGAACGTACACGGTACGACATGCCGTAACATTGAAATGGCTTCCCATTTTATTTCATCAATTCAGCAAATCATAACGTGGCGTAGTTACGGTTACGGCCGTTAATCTCGAACCAAGTGTCTTCCGACTTTTTGGTTAACGGACTGGAGCCTGTAAGATACGGTACAACTACGAATTTCAGGCTTGCCGCAGAGAAGGATCCAGGGCTCCCAAGTGCCTTTGCGAGCTTATTATTGCTTTCTTTGGTTTCAACCGGTTTATGTGCATCTTTTTCTAATGTATGATACTTTTGCTACTACTAATACTAATACTGAGGTGTTGCTTTAGCATTTGATAAAGACATGTTTGACTAATTTGGCAAATAAAAGTATCCAGTTGTAGGATCTGTACTGAAATACTCCAAAGTACTCCAGTATTTTGACGAGTATCTCTAACCTTCTTGAAGTATTTAGAAAATATATATTGCCGAAAGGTGACATACACTCTTCTTAAATACATTTTATTTTTTAAATTTCGAAAATATTCATTTCAGCTGTTTGAATAAATGTTGTATCTCACTCGCAATGCATGATGGGATAACCCAGGATCCTTCTCTGGGTTTGCCGTATCATTTTCCGCATTGGTTCCCGCTCATACGAAAACCACTATATAGTATGTAATACTTGTATAAGTCTAATTTTCCTTATTTTTCTGACGATCCTATGTACAGTAAACTAAAGCGAGTTTGTGACTACTGTCTTGCGAATGACAAGCAGCTAAAGCCTCAGAAGGGACCCGGCAAGCGTCAGACTGACAGCGAAGAAGACCTTGACGAAACAATGTCAGACATCAGCATCGGCGCCAGTCCAAGAAAGGGAACAAGAAGCTCGACATTACAGAGTGTTAGCGATGAAGACATAGCGACTGCCAGTCAAACGAACAAAGACAAAACCGACCAGGAGAAAAATTCTAATGAAAAACCACGAGCAGCTTCAAGTCCAATTCAAGAGGACAAGACAAAGGGCACTAATGAATCGAAGCCATTAGAAAACAATACAGCACAGAGTAGTAATAGTAGTAGTGAATATTCAAGCTTTGCTACAGCAAGTACAGTTAGTAACCCTGCATCTCCACGCGAGGGGGTAACGAGTCCTGTTGGTGAAGGATTTGAAGTCATTGACCCACACGAAGAGATCAATGAGGTGTTAGAATCACGTGTAGTGATCAGTGACACGGACTATAAAGAAGACTTGTTGATTCCCGCGGTCAATGACGAGCAGGATGTGTCCAGGGAGTTTATTGTGTCGGCAGGGACTAGATATGTGCTGCCTGTCATGGTGGCTACGCCAGGTGCTATATTATGTTGGTCTTTTAGAACAGCCTACAAGGTAAATGACATCATGTCACTACTATACTTGATGCTTATCGATGTGCCGGCACTGCGCGACCATAGTGCAGTTTTCGTATGACTGTGAAAAGCTCAGTGCCGTAAGCGTGACGTGCCGTGACCGTGATACTTTCTAGAATTTTAATTGGCTGATTTTTTTCACGCGCAATATGATTGGTCTAAAAGTGCCGTGATCTTGGCGTGACCGTGTCCGCGCCGTGTTTATACCGTGTTCCGGGTATTTGATTGGATAGAGAGTAAATTCTCGTGCAATGTGATTTGTCTGATGTATCCCTTGCTGTGTCACGACCGTGTTCGTGCCGTGAACTTTTTACAGTCATGCGAAAACTGCACTACAATGGGATATTTCTTACCGACTAATCACCACGCGTTTGGTTTTTCTTTCATTTTTGCAAAATTGAGCAACAATCATTAGCGCATATAGAGTATGTTCATGGCAGCCATGTTGGTTGGTTAAACAAAAGAATTTTTTCTCTTGGGAAATTTTTGTGGAATGTCTTATAGGTTGTCAGAGAAAAGCTCATAAAACCGACACTAATTGCTATATGATTTCTATTACTAGAGCATCATCTTTGGTTTGGCGTACAAAGACAGTGAAAAACAAAAGGATGAAAATATAGAGGTTTGTTGAAAGATTGTTCACGTCGGCTTGCTGCTACTAGAGACCTTGTTCCTCGTTACAAAGTTATTTATTCTATTTCCTCTTCTTTCCAAGACTCTTTTTCCTTTAGCTCGGTACAGTTCAAACGTTATACCAGTTGAGGGAGAATGGAAAACAGCCTGTCATGGAGTGTATCTTCTCGTCTTCGATAATACTTATTCACGGTAATCAGTGATCATTCATCTTTAGTTTATCTTCAGTCCTAGCTGGTTATAGTTTTATCAGCGATATATTTTTTAATATTTTTGAACCCTTGTTTTCCTTGATCATGATCATGCACCTTCAGTTTTATCTTCAGTCCTAGCTGGTTATAGTTTAATCAGTGACATATTTTTGAAATATTTTTGAACACTTTCTTGTTTTCCTTCATGGTTCACAGGTTTACATCGAAGCACTTGACATGCCATCTACACGTCAAGAGGAAGCCCTCCCTCTTACACCCGTCATCTTAACCACAGATAGCCGTGCTGTTTTTTAAAATCCGTGTACAAATCATATCTCACAATATGCTTAAAAAGCACCTTATAATAATTGTGTATCAAACTTAGAAATTATGGAATTCGAATATTTAAAATTAATTGCAATTTTTGTACAGAACCACCAAAATTCACATACCCAAAATGTTCTAAATGAAGGAGTAAAAGAACTTACTTTGCACTGGATTGATATAACACATCAATCAAATCTTTTGTATGATATTCTGTCGCATTTCGCTTTTTTGTTTTCTGTTGCCTTTCTATTTCCTTTTTTTTAAATGCATAACTCATTTCATTACTGTAAGCTTATAATACATAAACTGAGGGCTGCGCAAGTTCTACCTTAAAAGATACAAGTGCAAGATGGTTATGCTCATTTGTAGGGAAAGGGTAAAGTTAAGTAGTAGTCATACACTTCACTTTCGTCTTTTTTCTTTTTCTAAACTCACCTCTCAGTAATGCGCAAGATACTAGACTGACCTCGACGTGTTAACTTTGATATGAGCTCCATTTCGTGTGTAAAGCAGCATGTTTTACTAGGAGGGAAATGTAACAGACGAGTTTCCGAGCTATCAATGATGCATACTTTATTTGATTCCAATATAAATAATTGATTGACTAATTTCCATAAATCGGTTGACTAGTGCCAGATAAAGAGGTTCAAAGGATTTTACGAGTTTTAACCTTGCAGCCTCGCTTGAAAACTTTGCCTTTGACATATATGGAAATTGGTCATTTCCTGTTTGGAACACGTACAGTTAAGCGCGCCTCATCTTCTGATCCTGTAATGCTCATATTTTAATGTAACGGACATATCCAATAATATTTATGCTATTGTGAATAATCTTGTCAGCAAAGCTGTATTTTATAATAAATTAATAAACAATTTGTATCTAAATATTGTTTTATTATTCCTTCCTTCCTTCCTTCCCTCCCTTCCTTCCCTCCTTCTTTCCTTCCTTCCTTCCTTTATTTATGCATTCATTCATTCATCCATCCATCCATCCATCCATYCATTCATTCATTCATTCATTTTTWTTTATTTWTTTATTTTTATTTATTTATTTATTTATTCATTTATTTATTTATTTAAATTACAACGGCAAAAATAAGCAAATGAATAAAATTTGTATTTATAATCCAGTTTACACCAAACCTTTATATAAGCGAAAAATCATGAGCAACCCGTACTACTATTTCACTTTCTCTGGCTATGACACTTTGCGCATCCCATATGGAAGGCATTTCCATGTAACATGCATTAAAGAGGCAATAATTGGACCAAATTTGATATCATATGTAACTGGCATTCCGCATCCTTTTCATCTAACGCTCACATTTTAATCTTAATTTAATGTTAATGATCCAAGTTCCGGGTGGTTCCGGAGTCCATTTTAACTGTGTTCCAATTACATCGCGCGTGGCATGCCGGTATCAACATCCGGGGATTCACGTGGTATTCAGTCACGTTGATCAAAATGGCGGAAACAGGTGAGTCGTACTTGGAGTCAAGACAAATTACGATGGCATTTTAACCCTTTATATTGATAACAATACACTAGATCTCCTCGTGCCAATCAACCTGACTTTCTAAGCTACCTATCCGTGAATTTTTTTGTAATTTAGGTGGGAAAAAAGGCAAGAAGAAAAAGGGGAAAACTTTGAACTTGTTGGAGTTCTTGAACGATAACCAGACGTCTGCTGTATCACTTGGACCGGTTTTAAAATCTACCTCTAGTTGGGCAGACGAGAGTGAGGATCTCGCTACAGATGGTAAACGTTAGTTAATATAGTCTAAGAATCATTTCGACTGTAGTAAAGTTTGGCTATAATGCACAGGCTTGGATTCAAGCTTTTACTACGAAGTCTTATTATGTAGAACAGAACCGTGGAACAAGATGATTGGAGGCATTTCTTCGATTAAACGTGGACTTTTGATTGACGTGGACTTTTTACACTTTTCCGTTTAATCAGCTACCATTTGGAACCTTCAATATGCGAGCTTCTTAAATAAATATATGAATTTAAATTAACAATATAGTTTCTTTCAAATTTCAATCCAAAATAATAGTGTCTGATGAAACCTACTAAGGTTWTATTCATCAATAAACATTTATCAGATTACGATCAAGTTAACGTAACTTAAATAGATCTTTATTAACATTTCTCACATGATTTTTCATTAAATACTATGTATAAGCTTAAAATAAGATTAGAATAGTAATTCAATTATCATGCCATTTACCCATGACTATTAAAAATTTCGTAATATTTACTAATTCGGATATATTGACCAAAAWATACAATAACCAAAAAATGGTCTAAGAAAGTAAACCAAATAAACATCGGAATGATAAGAAAGACTTTTAGTCTCTAGGAATTAAAAAAAAAAAATTGCGCATGCAAAATTTTACCATATAAGTGTAAGTAGAACAAATTTCCTAAATCCTAAAATCTTTACTTTTTTATGTTATTCGTTTTTGTTTGTTTGGCTTCCTCTGCTGAAGAAGTTGTCGATGCCAAGAGTATTTGTCCTATTTTCATTATCCCTACTAAGTGAAAATTCCAGCAGTCTGAGTTTTGGCTTYTGTCATTCAAATTTTCTGCAGTTTCAATCAGTGTTTCTTGATTGAAAGAAAATAGTAACAAAAAAGTTCTAGAGTTTTGCTTTTAGAGATAATATCCTAAGCTTTCAGTTCATTGATCATCATCAGGGGCAGCGTTGTCAATTAATAAATGTAGATAGATTAAGTATATTTTTTAATTAGATGATTGGAATTTTTTTAGGCTAGTTTGATCATAAGCAGACTTGTTGAACAATATTCCTTGATCAGAACAAAAAAAAGGTTATAGGCTAATAGTGACATGCATATTTCTTTGCTTTAAACAGTTGATAACAGATGGCAGGACGACTCCTATGGAAGCAGTTCAGCAAAACGCCAAATGAATTTGGCTGCCCTTCCTACAGCGCCAAGAGCATCCCTTGAAACACAGATTGACTACAGTAAAATACCGGAGCATCCACCATTCACTGCCTTTCTTGGAAATTTGCCATACGATATAGAAAAAGAAGATATATTGGCTTTCTTCAGTGACATCAAGGTAATTTTTCACCTTCACCATGGCAACAAGAAGTAAATAAACAACAACAACAACAATACATACTTAAGAACAATTGTGGGCAAATGAAGAACTTTGCTGGATTTTTTTTTTTTAATTTGGCATAAATATATTCTTGTTCAAAAAACGAAATAAAAAATGGGGGTCACCATTTTAGAGGTATGAGAATTCCAACCTCTCCAATTTCCAAGCTTTATTATGATATTTTGCCCATCAAAACTTTCTGACATCATCAAAATGAGTGCATACRTGTACACACTAAACTCATGCGTAGAAAGGCTGCACAACAACAATGCCTTCAACATCCTTAAAGTGCTTTAAAAAGCCTCTTTCAAAGAGTATAAAAGGTTCATTTTGTTGCTTAAAATACTGTAACATAACAAAAAATTTGTTGATTAAGAAAATGTTTTTAGGTAGTGTATAGAACCCAATTGTTATACCAAATGATTTARAAATTATAGTCAGTGTTTTGCTTCAGTTCCACCCATTTCTCATCCCTTTGACAGTTAGGTGTAATACAAGTTGTATGGGTTTTTGGTTTACGTCAATCAAATTTCCAGAAGTCTGATTGTAATTTTTTGATTAACCAAAGCCAATTTAAAGAGTTAATYGTGTAAAATTATGAAAATGTGTGTAATTGTATGATCTTATTCTCCCAGATAACAGAAGTCCGATTACCTCAGGATTCAGGCGGTGGCAGAGCAAAAGGCTTTGGGTATGCAGAGTTTGCTGATAAGGAATCGCTTGTCCAAGCACTATCAATGAACAATGAGGTATGTCAAAAAACTTACATTTCATCCAATTATCTTTCTAACACTTTCTAATCACAAATATGTGTTTTTTTGTTTTGTTTTTGTTTTTGTTTTTTGTAGACATTACAAGCGAGGAAAATAAGAATTGACATAGCAGGACAGAATCAAGGTATTACATATACTTACCTAAGTTTGGTATCAGTTTTGATATTTTCATCACGAATAATTATTTCAAAGACGAATTAGGCGAACAGACTTATTGAACCAGAAGCGAAAACACCTGTTGCCGTTCACCCCCATGACCGTCTCTTGTGTTAAATTTTGAAAGAAAACACTCTTAGATCATGTTTAATAAAAGGATTCTCCATTAACTTTAGCTTGTCTATTTGATCCTTGATAACTATGTTGGATTGAATGTGTACATCTATAGATTGATTGAAACATCAGGTTACCAATACAGTATACAACATATGAACTTGTGACAAACAGTCCGTGTATGATCTAAGTATGTAGGCAAACCTCAGTGGGCACAATGATGAGTGGCAAAACACCTAGATACTAAAAGGAAATCATAAGGCATATTACTTTAATACATTGTTACTTTAAGGATTATCTAATTATTACTTACTTTAAAGGAGGTGATAGAGACAGAAGTGATAAAGATGATGGTCCAGATATGACAATGGGTGACTGGAGAGCACAGCCTGATGAACCCTCGTCAAGGTCTGGTAGTCGTTATGGCTCAAGTAATGGTTACCAAGACCGCTATTCCAGGGACAGAAGAGATGATGGATGGGGAAGAGACAGTGACAGGTATTAATACAATCTTGATAGGAGCTGAGTAACACCTTCCCAACAGTCTGGGAAATATTGAAATTCTTTTTTGCAGTGTACACATAATATARTAAATACTAAATTAAAGGGGGAAGGATTTTAACACATTTGATTTAAGTTGTGTTATTTTGTTCATTGGAAAACAATTTTAAATGTCTTGATGTATATATATATACATACATTATCAATACACATACATTATCAATACACATACATTATCAATACACACACATTATCAATACACATGCATTATCAATATTATGCACCTACGTTATCAATACACATCCATCATCAATACACATACATTATCAATACACATACATTATCAATACACATACATTATCAATACACATACATTATCAATACACATGCATTATCAATACACATACATTATCAATACACATACATTATCAATACACATGCATTATCAATATGCATACATTATTGATGCACACACATTATCAACCACATACGAGTTGCAATACTTTACAGTTTAAAATAATGTAAAACTGCTATGAAAAAGCCAAGGAATTGTCACGTCAAAGTAGTATAATTCAGACATAATACACCTAAACAGGCTAATAATAAACATTAAGAATAAACAAGGGGAAATCATGCTGATTTTTGGCATATGTGTTTCACTGTTAACTAACAGGGGTCGTTATCATGATTATGATGATCGACGTTATCCAGATTCCTTAGATGAACGAAGACCAAGAAATCACTATAACTCTAATCATTATGGAGATCAGTATGACAACTATCGGCCTGGACGTAGTTATCAAAGAGATAGTTGGTATGGTAAACCATACTAAAATTATTGAATATGTATTATTTTATCCAGCTGTTCTACATATGAAATATTTTTAGACTGGTATCCCATAGTTATTTACATCAGCTGTGTTTYATGAACTATATTTTTTTGTCATTACTAAGAAAAGCATGCATATACTATACTAACATAAGGGTAAACATTTATCTAGATAACTTGATCTGAGAACCAGAAATAATTTTCTAAAACTTGCTTCCATACTTATATTGTTCTTTGGTGTTTTTAGGGGCAGTAGATATAACGAGAGAGACAGAAGGGATGGTCATGGTGGAGGGGATATGAATGATCCATATGCTGGAGCAGAGTTCACAAGAGATCAAGCCCGCCCACCAGTAGCTAAAGCACCATCTAGTCAAAATGGGGATAGTCAGAATGACCGAGAAGATAGAGGTGACCAGGATGATGGAGGCAGTAGAGGATATGGTGACAGAGACAGGGGATATGGTGATAGAGACAGGGGATATGGAGACRGGGGATATGGAGACAGGGACAGGGGATATGGAGACAGGAGCAGGGGATATGGTGATAGAGACAGGGGTTATAACGATAGAGGCAGGGGATATGGTGATAGAGACAGGGGTTATGGTGATAGAGACAGAGGATATGGTGATAGAGACAGGGGATATGGCGATAGAGATAGGGGTTATGGTGATAGAGACAGAGGTTATGGTGATAGAGACAGAGGATATGGTGATAGAGACAGGGGTTATGGTGATAGAGACAGAGGATATGGTGATCGGGACAGACGGTATGGTGATCGCGACAGGGGGTATGGTGATCGTGATAGAGATTTTGGTGACAGAGATGGTTACAGGCGTGAATATGGAAGCAGAGGAGATGAAGATGATCATGAATCAGGTAACCATACTTGTTGCTTTCAATGTAGAAGCTTTGCTTACCAACTGATTGATGAAAAACCAGTAACATTTTGTAAATTTGTTATTTCTGTATCAGCGAAAGAAAGACCCAGGCTACAGCTTAAACCAAGAACCAAGCCAGTAGAAGAAGTAAAGCCAGTTCCAGCAGAATCTCGAAGTTCTATATTTGGAGGTGCCAAACCAGTAGACACTACAGCAAAAGAAAAGGAAATTGAAGAAAAACTTGAAAAGCTAAAAGTTGAAGTTGATCTAAAAAAAGAAAAAGAACGTGATGGTACATATGCTAGAGGAGAATATAGAAGCCGTAGAGACAGTGGACGATCAAGTGAAGGGGAATCCCGTAGCCGTAAAGATAGCAGTAGGTCAAATGAAGATGAGGGGCCAGCAAGTAATCGTGGGCGTAGGGACAGTGAAAAATCATTAGAAAAATCATTAGAAAAAGAAAAAACACCAACAAGCAAGGAGAGTCCACATGATGCTCCTCTTCCTCCTCCTGTTAATGTTTGGAAACAAAGAATGGATGCCCAGAAAGCAGGTACAACAAATGATCAACCAAAAGAAGAATCCACTGCTCAATCCAATGCTGAAAAACCAGTTATTGAAAAGACAGCAGAGAAGAAGCCCATAAGCTCAAATGCACCAAYGTCTCCTGTTGGAAGAGGATCTAATCCCAAACAACATATGCGAGGCAGTGAAAGAGGTGCTGCTAGAGGACGAGGCAGAGGAAGAGGAGAACATCACAGCAGAACACATGATGCTGGGGATGGAAGAAATAAAGAAGAAAAGAAGGAAAGAAAAGAGAAAAGAGCACCAGAATTAAAGAAAATTGAAGACCAACCTCCRGTAAGTCTTTTTTGTTGTACCTTCACATGTTGATAACTGCAAACAAACACTACAAGTCATTATCCCAGGGTTTTCTCTCAGCCATGTTGTTCAAATTGGTTTTCATTATTTTGTTGATTTTCACAATATATCATCAGGATCCACTACTTCTTCTACATCCAAGAACTGTGTAGGATTTGGAATCGTTTGGCCAGAAAAAATTGTGTGCTCAAACATTGCTACAATGTAAACACTAGCTACTTCATGTAATTATGCTATTTGGTCAGAGAGTTAAGCACCTAGGACCAACAACAGAGTTCTCATGTGACAAGAATGAAATTCATTGTCATTTTGCATTGATAGGGAACTTACTGTAAAACAATGCCCTTGGAGCTCATTACGTATCTTCTCGAAAAAAAATTTGTTGGTCGTTGCTCATGTTACTCCAAGATGCTGAAGCTACCTCATATTCCAAGCACTGTTGATGATTTCAACAAACCATTGCAACTCAATCCATTATTTCCAACTGTTAAGTTAATCTTTTCTGTCTGATTTTTTAGGTGTTTCATCAAACCAGCAAGTTTTCACTCTTGATGGATGAAGATGATGAAGAAGACGAAAATGAAAGTGCTGAAACTTAATACAATCAGCTATAAATGATTAATAATAATAAATACTTTTGGAAGTCATRTTCCCAAAGTTGTATCAGCCACTTCTACACCTGTCAGTTTGACTGGCCACCATGATTGTAATGGAAAACTGGAACAAACTTTTAATGTTTATCAAATTCCTATTTTATTCTGACTTTTGCTTGTGATTTTCTTAAATTATAGGAATTCAATCGATCRATTAAAGAATTTACATTGTCGTAGTAAGACTGAATGCAAAGTATCATGGTCTGAGGTCGAACACTCGTTACATATATTATCATCATCCAATCATTTATTTGCCAACACTTTATTTGTTTCTTATCAATTGAATTTCCTTTTTTTCTGTAAAGAAAGCAATTCTTGGTTGTAACTATATCAATCATGGTAGTGTACAGTTACCTAAAGATTTTTTCGTTTAGTTATGTACACCATTATGGCTGCTATGTTTTTGAGCTTCAGTTCCTGTAGGAATGATTGGAATTAACCAAGAATRATTATTATTGTAGTTTCCTAAAGCTGCTATGCTTCTTTCATTGGATATTATTTTATGCAATAAAATGAATTATTGGTCTATGTACAGCATTTTTACTTGTGGAACCCCTTTTGCTTTATTGGCAGTCTTTCGTTAGGCTGGGTGCATCAAGATGCACACAGGCTATCTTTCTTATGGTACAAGAGAATTTTGCTTGATCAAAGTGATCATCAGATGGACTGCTGCAAATTTCGGGGGGGGGTTTACTCCCCTATATTTGCTATACAGGTATGTGCTGCCCTATGGGGTATGGTTTTTCGGCTTTTAGGTCTGGGGTAGGGTATAATTTTTTGACATTTTGTCTGGGATAGGGTATCATTGTTGTCTGGGATAGGGTTACGATTTYGCTGTTTTTGTTTGGCAAATAGGCAACACAAGATTGCAATCTATTGAATAACCCCATCTTTTCCACGTCAACAAAAGATAATATGACCAAGATGTAGCTAACACTACTGTTTGTTTGAAATGGTTTCAATAATGGCCATATCCGATCTTAAAACTTGACATACATGTTAGGGTTTAGTCTGGGACAATTCTTAGTTTTAGTCTGGGGTAGGGTATGTAAAATCGAAATTTTAGGTCTGGGATAGGGTCAGGGTTTTGAGGTCCTGGCGGCACACYCCTACCCAAGTTGGGGTGGTAGTATTCCCCCCCGGCATGTTTCCAATTTTGATCTGCCAAAAGATTGTCTGATAGTGCTTGTGAAGAAATGGGGAAGCCTGGAAATATTTCGGAAATTTCCCAATAGCTTCGTTTTCTGGTTTAGTCCTTTACATTTTTCATGCCATACAAATCAGAGTCAAACAAGTCCATCTAAGAGATTTAAGGTAAATATGGTTACTATGACACTCGTTTTTGGTGTCTGCTTATGAAATTAGTAGAAATTAGTAAATACAAATCTTGTTTCTTATTGGCAGCTAGACAATGGACATATTCCACAAAGTGCCAACGCGCAATTATTGTTATCTGGATGCAAAACACTCAGGAAACCCAATTGATGACTTGCACTAACAGGTCACGTGACCCTACCTCCCTTAAAATGAGCATTTTTGTCAAAATAAAAAGCAAAGTGAAAAGATTATCTCGGCATTAGTAAGGAGACAGAGTTTCAGCTCATAATAAGCAAAACAGGAGAAATGGCATTGTATATAAAATTGAATGTTTTATAAGGTTTTGTATGGGAAAATGCACTGGMTGGCAATAAAAAGCTTACCAGTCAAGAACATGGACCTTAGCATTGAGACCAGACAGATTCAATGTTCTTTGTATTCAACGAAACCATTTCCATGTCTTAATGACCTATCACCTATTGCCTTTGGGGATGACAACATTTATTGAACTGAAAAGACTGYATGTCTGGAGTTGGTCACAGTGCAACAACATAACATTACAGGAATGAAACAATTTAATGATGATCAGTTTATTAAACTAATATATTTGAGACACCTTATRTTTCGATTTATTCTGGATAAAAGTTTCCATGGTTACCTCCTACTTTACAAATATATGGCACCATCAGTATAATATACCCTATATATTGCTAATTATCTTAATCACTTATGACCTAGTTAAAAACCCTCATTGTCTTGGACYGTAATAATCAAATGAAAAATTCATTTTATATAACGAAAACAAACAAAAACCTTTTACCAGATGATCAACATTACTATTATTTCCAATAAGAAAAAAAACAAACAACTCCGAACATTGAATATTTAATAGATGTGAGCCTTTTTTGATCCTGGATTGAAACACTTAAAACTACATTGATGGATGTTATCTTTCTAATATACCGTCAATGTCATTAACGTTGTCCACTGAAAAAAGACATTTACACATTTACACATTTCSATTCAAAGAAATATCACGTGTTTCATTATGTATTCTTTGCCTCGTGTGCGTCAGCCTGAACTTTAAATGTAAAATTTAACTCATGAATCGAAAATCCAGAATGCCCCGACAATTTAGTGAGGATTTAAGATGGAGAATGGTATTTCAGCGTTTGTTTTATGCCAGAACGTTTGAGAAAACACGTGATATTTCTTTTAGTCTAAATGTGTAAATGTGTAAATGTGTAAATGTGTAAATGTGTAAATGTGTAAATGTCTTTTTTCGGTGGACAACGTTAATGACATTGACTGTATTATCAAAAAATAAATAATGGCCTTTTTCCATGCAGCACTGTTCAGTTATGCACAGCACCACTCTTCACACCGTAAATTTTCTTTACATTTTTTTCATGCTTGCATGACTTCCTGCATAATGYATTACTGAACAGGGGACAGAAAATTTCCTTTAATAAGGTGGTCTCCAGGTTACAATACTAGTTATTACCCCTGCCAAATAAGGCCAATAGCAGTAAAAAGATCCTGATGATATCCATGTAGAGGCTCAGGGCACCAAAAACATACTCCTCTGGGCTCAGTTCATACTTCTTGCCGCCCATAATCAGCTGTGTGTCGTATGCAAGGAACTACACAAATACAAGAATGATTGGGTGATTCAAAATATATAATGAAATAACTGGTATAATATTATGACACACTGTTTACTTACGGCAACAAATAATAAAGCGATGGCTCCACCAAGTATGATCATGCCAACCTAAAGTAATTGAAATCAAACTGTCCATCAATATCAGGCCAGCTATCAGGAATTGAAAAGAAATGTTCCACCAAATACCGTGATAAATTGGCCTAATGTGTAAAATAATTACACTTCTAACAGTTGGCCTAAAATGTTCAAATTTCCAGTTTTAAATGATTGTCTTATGATCCCTGTAGCATCACTTCTTATTCTTAAATTAATATGTTGCTTGTATTTAATTGAATGACACAGGGAATTGGTGGCTAAACTGTCCTAGCTGTTTACTCTCAGAGGCGTTTCAATTGCAATATTGCAAAAATGCGAAAATCCTTAAGAGTAGGTCTCTGTAAGACTCAAGCAAAGTGGGAAATGAAATTTTTTGACCACCCTTGAAATTTGGTGTGTGAGTAGGCCTTTATATGGGATTCACAAAAACAACAACAATTTGGTCACCAAATGTATTGTTGCCATGGAAACGGTAAGTGTTTTATGAGACCTTAATTTCCAATTTTTGGAATAAATTTAACCCACTCGAAGGTAAAATTCAAATACCTGTAATTATACTTACCTGCGCGGCAGAGTAATAAATCGGATCCATTGACTAAGTGAGTACATTTGCTAAGGCCGAATGTTTGAAGATGTCTGGTCACCACAAAATCTGTCTCGTTCATTTTTCCAAACTTCCGGTCAGCGGTTGAAAATGAGAACAACAACTTTAGATCGAGAATTCTTTCTTTCAAATATTCTCAAAATAAGCATATTTTTTTACTTTGTAGCCTTCAAAAGTTCAGCATTCATGTTAAATAACAGCTTACAGGTAATTCTGTCA